CCTTCTCTAAGTATGATCGTCCACCTAAGCATGATCTAGCTACTGTAAGTATAAAAGTTCTTACCCTTACCTCTTCCACTTCGTCCGACAAATCTGAGATCATTGAACTTGGCCACCTGGTTCTTCATGATGGCTGTCGCGTTCCGCAGCTCTGCACAGTAGTTTTCGTCGTTACCAGCTCTGACAGTGACCATGGTACCATCCCCCACCTCTCCAAGCGCAACGACTTTAAAGGCCATCGGCAGTGTTTTGTTCGACCGCCAATGCGGAGGCAACACGGTACAAACAACATGAGGACTTCCAGTTCGAACAAGTTCTCCCGGATGTTCCGCCAGCAGGCCATCAATTGTTCTTTCAGCCAGCATCTCGGCAGTCAGGTTACCATAGTTTCTGTCGTAGTGGCCGGTGGTAGAACTCACTTCACTAGCCAAGTGCATTTTATGCAACTCACTAATTGCGGGGTGGCACTTTAAATCGCGGATGCTCTCGTCAGCAGCAGCGGCATTTCGCGCAAAAACTTCGTTAATGCATATTATGGCGCGGATTTTTCAAGAGAGATTTCCAGAGAGAGAAACAAATGGCTAGCCGAGCTGACGCGCAAATGTGATGAAAAATCACGCGTTGCTGTGGTAGTAAGTGTGGACCGCAGCCGTTGGAAAAGTGCGCGCGGTAACTCCCATCCTTTACATTCTTTCTCTTTGCGACTGTTTTTCTGATCTGATGTCCTCGTCTCTCTCGTTTCCGCCAATTGTTTTTAATTAGCCCTGCATGACTGCGATTGTTCACTCAACGTGTTGCTACTTTGTCGCTTGTTAAGCTCGATGATTATCTGTTTCGTTTTGGATTAAAAGTCAATTTTCTGGCCAGCTCATTCTGTGAGGCAAGCGCTGGATGAATGTTGCTTTCCAGTCGCTTCGGTCCCCTTGTTCACTCGAATTAACTGAAAAAACATAATTGAATTAGCTGGTGGCTTTGATGCTTATTTGTCGAAGAATATTTCCAAATGTATCGGCATTGAGCAAAATTATTCTGAAAGGGCCAATGCCCAACATGAACCTCTTGATATTTTGAAGGCATATTTTCTCTATATACACAAACTATGGATATCCCCCAAAAATGTCCAAGCTTTGCCAGTAGTATTAAAAAGCCCAAAAAAACCACCAGTTTCAACGATGCCAATTCTTCCGATTAAATGAAGTCAACTAGTGGTGAGCAAAACAAGACCAAAGACTACATGGACTTGGTTTTTTTGCAACATTAAGCAAGACTGCAAGATCCAGTCCAGTGCAAACCAGTCCGCTGACCATTAGAATCAATTCTGAACTAAACTGCTCAACAAAATCAACGTTTCACTGACAAATTTTGGACTAACTACGGAACTGAATAAAATCCGATTGCTTCAAACGAATTAACTTCTGTGTGAAGTATTATTTAGTGTTGTTCTTTTTCGTTCAGTACGTGGCTCTGCAAATAATTAGTGTGTCAGACAAAGTTTTTACAGAGTAGCAAATGAAACAATGCAAAATTGGTGAAAGTTCCTCGTGTTCTTAGTAGGACAAAAACCGACTTTTTCATTTCAACACCACCGGCATTAAGACCTCAAAAGGCATTTTTTATTTTTTTGCTCGTCTCGTTTATTTACGGCGTGGTCTTAAAAAATCAACTTTTTGATCTCGCAGTGATAATTTTTTTCGCATGAACCCATTGCCAAAAAAAAAATATGTTGTCTAAAAAAGTCTAAAAATCACAGTCGACTTGAGCAAATAATAATTCAATATACCGGGTTGCATGAATAAACAAAATATTTGGAAGTAAAATTTGCTTACTTAAAAGTCTTCCACAGTCTCATATTTCAGGGGCGTTTCGAGATATTTGGTTTATCTGTAAACTTTTGGTGATGAGACCCAAACTGTAACTTTTATCTTTTGTTGTGTGTTGGTGTAGCACTTATTGCGTTGGCAGAGGAAATTGTCAATATTTCTGAATAAACTCGTAAACTTTAACTCAATTTCCGACTTTCCGATAAAAGTTGCCAACATTGATGCATTAATAACCAAATGCCAAATAAATAATCAGAGAGTTGGTTTTTTGTGCCATAAAATCACATGTTTCCATCTTAAACACCCAGCAAAACCGCGTTAAATCYTAACCACCYGAAGGTAGAAATTCTGTTAAAATCGCTAAAAGTTAAGSTTYTTMCTGCTGTTTATCAATTTTATTCACGMGAATTCGTAACTGGACATTTTCTCGGTTAGCAACTGAGTATGAAAAATCTTCCACAAACAGCCAATTTCTTGAAGCTGTTATGTCAATTTGGGAGCTGGAGATAAACTTTGTCAGATTTGAACCGGGAGGAAGAAGAAGTGAGTAAAGTGAACAGTCTTATATCATATAGTCGTAACTCATTTGCAAATATATTTTAAGAAAAACATAAAAACTCCTTCAGTAAACCTGAAACTTAACAGTTTGTCCTAGGCCCAAATGTAGCCCCTCTACAAAAACACGAAGTTATAAAGCAAGGCAGTTTGAATAACCGATTTGATTTTATTGACGCCAAAATTTTAAATTGTAGCAAATAATTTGGAATTGTCTTTGAGCCAAAGCTATTTATATAAAGTGCGCACTAACTCACTTTCTAAGAATGTGAAAAAATCTCTATAAAATGATGAATAAACTGTAGATACCCACTTAACGTTTTCAATGTAATAAAAATCTCCAAAACATCCATCAATTAGAAACCAGCAAGCAGGTGTTGTCCAGGTTTGATAAACTTCGAAACCATTATCCCCGTCTTTTGTAAGGGAGTATATCAAAGAGGGGTGAACAACGAAATATTTGACAAGCCGCGCACGTTTTGGTCCAGTTAACTGCTCGGAACGGGGGCGCAAAAATCAGCTGATTTATGATTCATCTTTGACACCCTTGTTCTCCATAGGCCATTTCGTATTTTTGCGCCAATTGCCCAATTTTATCGCTACTCGCAAACCTCTTCAAAGCATCAGCAAAAAATCCTTAATAAATGAAGTACCTAACACTAAGACTTTCCTTTTAGTCTTCTTTATATGTGTTTGTTAAGTTTGTCTAACAGCCGTCGGTTAATCGGTGCATCATGTACACAAAAATTATGCTACCGTTTAATAATCAAACTCATAATTTTTGAAAACTTCACATTTATAAAACATATTTCTATAGCTGTTTTATTGAGTGAACCGAGTGTGGCATACGAAAATGTTCTCTTTTAGTTTTACATTATATATAATGTATAGATTGTATAAGTATAATAAAATACCATAAAACGAAAGAAAACTTAAAATATAAAATCAGGTCGAAAAAGCACGCAGTTGCATTTATAATTATTAATGATATTGTACAACGACCCGCCAAATTTTAACATTCTAACATAGAACTAGATGAACTGCAAACTTCTTTTTCAGAAGCAGTTTTGATAATATATATACATATAATTGAAAATTTAATTTGCACTAAGTTTATCCGTTTCGAAAGACTCAAAATCATGTTTAGGTGCCAAAACACCCGACTGAATTTTCAAATGAAGCTAAAAGATTAAATTTATATGTATTAGTTATTTGTATTGAAATGTAGTTTTCTTATTAATTTTCCGATTTGAAAAGAGGCCTCCAGAAATATTGCAATTTTGAATCTCTACTTTTCCCAGTTTTGACTGGCAAAATCCTCATCATCATCAATCAAAAAGAATGCTTAAGTACTGGTTTATTTAATAGCAGAAACCTATACAGCAGTTTATTTCTAAATAACTAGCTGAAAGGATGAGGAAGAATTATAAAATTTTCCAAAATAAGAGTGCACGATACAAAATAAAACAAATTATTGAAAAAACATGACGGTAACTAAAATACGTTTGTAGCGTTTGGAACATTGCTAAAACTTGACATCTGCATTCGAAATTAAAAAGTTGGTCAATTTTTCAAAATATTTACTAAGCGAAGTTCTGCTGCTGCTTTACAAAAACCATAACCGAAATCGCATTCTTGACGAAACAAAACAACATACCTACAGTTTAATTGTCTCTAAAAATGTTTCCTTTTGATTTCAAAAGCTTTTTATGCAAAAACAATTTAAAGCATCCGTCAATGTTGTCGAAAATTACACATAAACTTGAATTTAAGCCCTTATTATTTGAGCAGTGTATGTTCTCACCCTCCTGGTACAAAATCGAGGGGAGACTTTGGCGAAGGGCGCCGAGCGACATAAAAAAGCTAATTAGGCGATAGAGGAACGTTTTGCAACACTTGTCTTAGACGGGAGCGGCATGTGTTTGATGTGATTAATGTAAGATGATCCAGAAGGTTAATCATGAGAAACGAGAAAATTAAATTACTTTGAATAATGCAGTGGAGTGCATAAATATGGCAAAGACTAAAATAACTAGAACTTAGATTATTGTGCATGCGAAACCTCCTGCTCCAACGCTGTATTCTCAGACCTTCACACCAGAAATAGACTACTATAAAAAGACCGAAAAACTGAAGAAGACACTCAGAAAAACCCAATTGGACTTTTTTGATAGGTTTTTTCGGTTTGAAAGTATGAGCAAAGTAATTTTTTGGTGAGATACCTACTTATAGAAGCTCCCGCGCAAACACCACACAACACAACTAGTCGAAAAATGGAAAGCGCACAGTATGAGTTAGCCGTCGGAAAAAGCGCCTGAGACGGGCAAAATAGCCGCCCTGCCGCGTTCTTTTCTGTCGCGAAATATTCTGACATTAAGAAAGAGTATAAAAGTAGTTGAGGGGATCGTTGTGGGTGGCCAAAGGGTGGCAAGTGGGCGGGGCGTGTTGAGGTAGACCGCCACCGCCGCCGATGCCACCAACCAGGAAAGACGGCGGATTTTTGCCCTCAGACCGACGTCGTTTCTTAGAGGTTTACCGACGCCCGAGACGCAAGCGCGCAACACTTATAAACGTCTTTTCTTCTTTTTTATACGTCGCTTGCTCTGTCCCACGTCCGCGATAACCTGCCACCTTCTCGCTCTCGTCTTTCTTAAAAGAATCTTTCTATCTGCGTCCTTTTTCTCTCGGTTTTCTTGGTCCCGCTCTAATTCCTCGCATACTTGGGTGATGTAAAGGTGTTTTGATGATATATTTACGGGACAATTCGGGCTGCGAGAAACGTTCGCTGACAGGACTGGATTTCGCGATAATTAGAATCTAGTCAAGCAAAATACCACTAAAAGAATTCTCAAACTATTCTTAAACCACCTACCTTTCTAAACATATTTTCATATAGTAACTTTTTTCTAACTTGATTTTTGCCTCTTTTTCTGAATTATTTCATAACATATTGACATTATTTATTACACGTAAATAAAAACGAACCTAGCGGTTCCTTATACAAAATAAATGGTGTGTCATACTTTAGCAAGTTATGAATATCGACCTAAAAAACTGTGTAA